GCAGCTCTATTCTGGAAAAGGGGGCGTGGAGCAGCAGCTCATTTGCATTTAAAGAGACAGGCCCGAAAAACTGCGTGTTTCTGCTTCCACTCAAAATAGGCATTTTCAAAATGATATAATAAATGATCTGTGGAGTATTTTGAGCTAAAATTTCACAGACACATTCTGGGGACACCAGAGACTTATATAACATATTGTAAAAAGGGGCATAATATGTCTCCTTTAAAGAAAGCAGAACAGTCCAGTAAAATATCATTATCACATCCATGAATCAGAGATGTTTTTACCGTGAGCGACAGGTTCTTTTTCGGTTGGGTTTGTGGGGGTGCTGGCGTGGGTGCAGGCTGGGCTGCAGTGGTGGGCGGCTGCGTGGGCATGTCTGGCTGTGCTGCTGTGGCGGCGGGGGGCGGGGCATTGTTGCTGGGCGTGCTGGTTGGTGTGGTGGGTGAGGTGGGGGCCGTGGGACTGGCAGTGCTGGCATTATACATGGGCGGCCGCTGTTTAAACTGGCCGGGTAATGAAGCAGAAGCGGCACTTGGGGCGGTCGACTCCTCTGACTGCCGGTTTGTAGTTTCACGCCCTGAACCACCTGCATTTGCTAAATATGAAGGCAAAAAATTAGGGTTGAGAAGACTTTGAGCTAACATTTAGCTTGGCTTCCTGTTAATATCTGATTATCTGTTGTGTCTTATTAATACATTTTCTACTTTAGATATTTTCTTTGCATTCATCCCATCCTGCATCTGTCGATGGCTCACCTGGCTGTGTCTCTGAGCTGGGAATATAAGACGAGGAAGGAACCATGCTGGGGGTGGCGGGAAGGTAACTGGTTGATGGCAGGGCGCTCTCGTTGTTTAGCGCCCCAAGTTTCTGTCAAAAGGAGCAGAGAAACCCATTTGAGTTTTGTTCTGACTTACATTTAAAGCATTCATCATATGGCTAAAAAGATTTCCAAAACTACCTGTGTGGACACCAGGCCTGCTGCGTAGTCTGGCGTTGCGTTCTCCACCACCGCCTCTTCTTTGGCTGCCTTCTCTCCAGCTTCTGTGTCTGAACAAGACCAAAAAAAACATTATAACTAAAATGTACAGCACAGAGGAGTGTGGGCTGGTCTTTAAGTCAGTCAGTTCAGAGGTGCAGGGTCTATGTAACTGAACAATCTTCTTAAACTTACCCAAAGTCTTTCTTCTCCTCTTAGCTTCTCTGCCAGCTCCTACCATATCCAACTCAGATATATCCAACAACTGCAAAAAAACACACAATCACATAACCTGACAATATAAAGCATATGATTGACATCCATACTAAGAAGGTAAAAATCCATTCACGATTCATAAATCCAGGTGTTACCCGTGACAACGTTTTGCTCTTAACCATTTAGTAAAGGGTAAAAACCTATTATATATACCCATGTTGTTCACTGATTTTATAACTGCTCATTGCCCGACAGTTACCTTGACTCCCCGTTCCTTGCGCAGGGGTGTGCGGGCAGGGGCGATAGGGGTTCTGTTACTGGGAGGGCTGAACATGCTTGGGGTGGTAGGGCTGCGGAATGGTGCTTTGGGAATGCCCTTCAGAGGCGCTGAAAGTAGACAGACAATCATTATTAGAAATCTTGTGTGTTGTTAAGAGAACATATGTACACTACTGTTCAAAGGTTTGGGGTCGCTAAGTTTCTTATGCTCACCAAGGCTGCATTTATTTGATAAAAAAACACAGTATTATTGTAAAATATTTTCATAATTTAAAACAGTTGTTAAAATATGTTTTATTTGAATATATTTTAAAATAAGTTGATTCTGTAATGGCAAAACTGAATATTCAGCAGACATTACTCCAGTCTCCAGAGTCATGTGATCCAGAAATCGTTCTAATATGCTGATTTAGTGCTAAAGTAATATTTTGTATTATCATCAATGTTAAAAACAGTTGTGCTGCTTACTATTTTTTTTTTTCCAGGATTCTTTGATGAATAGAAAGTTCGGTACAACAGAATTTATTTATTTATTTGTTTACATTAGAAATGTCTTTACTGTTACTTTTGATTAATTTAAGGTGTTTCTGCTGAATTAAAGTTTTAGTTTCTTTGACCCAAAAAATTACCCAAAACCTTTGAACAGTAATGTAAAAACAACATTTAAAAAGAAATACAACGTTACCCCAAATAAATAAAAAAATACAACTTTTAACCAACTAGTTCCAAGCTATTTTAGTGAATGCATTAAGTCATGAAGTCCTCAATCATAATTTTAACTATGGACATCGTCCACTAATGGAAAAAGATATCAAACCTATGACCTAAATTTTGATGTGATTGCTATCTAATGCAATGACATTCATACATTTTTCCCATCCAAATACTTTTTGGGGCCACTGTGTAATATACATATAAATCTTACTTGTGGTGTCAATCTTCTTCACTAGACCTCTTCCTTTGGAGTGGAACGGCACTCCTGCAGTTTTCTTTAACTGCTGGGCAGTCTCTGTGGCTTTAAAACAAATATAATGAATAATAAACAGTGACAATAAACATGACAATCATCACACAAACAGTATGGTAAACTCATTTTAAATGACTTGAATGAATCTGTACTGAAAAAGAAAAACACAGTTGTTCTGGCACAAAGAATTCATCAACACACTTACATTTCTGAAGCAGCTCAGCTCTGAGCGTAGCACTCTTGGGTTTCCTCTTGAGCTGGAAGTGCTTGATGGGTGGAGTGAGCGGCCCCACCAGCGTAGTCAAAGCACTCTTGTTCAGATACTGACACTCCAGAGGCAACATAGACGACGCTTCACATTCATTTACTGGAAAAGGGTGCATCAACAGTAAGTCTCAGCAGATAATTTCTTACAAAAGTGCATATGCACTTGCAAATGACTGTTTAGTGAGAATAGTCATCAAAAGCTAAGCTAGCTCTCAAAAGCCAACAAGAATCCAAACAAACAATCCCAGACAACCACAATAACTTTAGAATCGATTTTGATTTGTCACTTACTTTAATATAGAGTAATAATAATGGGCAATGATCAATCATAAAAAACACTGATTTTAAGATATAAATATTGCAGTTTCAATATTGCTATTGGTGACAAAGGAATTTTGGGCAGCCTTTTGCAGTCGGTTAATAAATAGAGTACAAGGTGATTTTTAGTCCAGGGCAGTAATATAGTGCTCAGAACACTGTTAACTTAATTTTTAACTAGACACACTGTCTTTAAAGCATGACACTCATGGTGTGACACACAGTGCACCTATCAAAGATGTCTGTCTGCTGACACACATATATACAATGAGCATTCCTATTCCCTAATATGTATCCAAAATAATCAAGGCTGGAGAAATATCTGGACCTAGACAAGAACAACTCTTTTGTGTAGTTCTGTTTTTGAAGAGAGAGAGAAACATATTAAACTGAAAAAAAACAACAACAACAACAGCCTTTGACCCTCTTCTAATACCGCAATCAATTATTTCAGACAAACCTTTCTCACGCAGCTCTCCAAGTATGTCCTGCACATTAGGGTTCTGCTCCTCCAGGTCCAGGTTTAGTGAGCCAGTCTCTGGAAATGATTTCAGGATGTCAGCCACCATTAACACCCACGGCTCAGAGTCCACAGTGGCCAGCTGAATGATCTCTGACAGAGCCTCCTTCATCTGAAATATGAGGGAACAATAGAGACAGAGAATTAGACATTAATTTAACCTAGTCAGTCTGTAAATGAATCTGCTACCATTGCACTGAAATTTGCCTCATATTGTAAATATATCTTTCCAGCATTGTTTACATTATTGCTATTGTATATTTCCTTCCTTCTGAGGCAAAACACACAGAAAGAATCACGACAGGATTCCAGACTAATTTAGTGAAACAATGGACCACAACAATGTAACAAACTTTAAGGAAACCTTAAATAGTTTAACCATAAATCCAATATTTATTTATTTATTTATATTTACAATTTATTAAGTTTGCAAATGTTTTTCCATAAGTTATACGACACTAAAATGGAAGCTTGCTTTACGACTCCATGCATTTGCCCATAAAAGCCAATAAATATGCTAGCAAATGAAACTCACTAAAACATAACATCAGACAGTATTTTCAAGTTTAGCTTTAGAAACTCTGTAAACATGACTTCCCACTTTTTGTATTTTGTTAGGGGAAAAAACTCTTTATACAGGCCCTTTTTGTCATTACTTATAATTCTTTGGCAATACTGTATGTAAAACAATCATGCCAATAAAGCACTGCAAAAACAGTTTCCGCGAAAAACGTTACTACTGTATTTTTTTTTTTTAATGGCAGTAACGTTAGTAGTTTATGCAAAGTTACCACAGCTTTACAGTACTAACCATGACTGGACTAACTGTGGCATTTTGGCGGAAACTATAGTTAACATGGTACATTTTCTTAGGGGGGGGGGTAGCGTCCAAACACAGAAATAAACAACTCCGCTAAAATAACACAGCAATAACACTCCAAAAGTTGACAGCATGTTTACATAAAGGAGGCTAGCGAGTTAGCTCAAGCCCAGAGGCTGAAGGCAGACAGACAGCAGCCTGAGCTGAGCTCTGCTGGAGACTGACATGATCCAGACAACAGCTGCAGGGGTCTCATGCTGGAAGCCATGTTATTACACATGCAACACATACGTGCCAGCAACATATAACACAACTACTGCTAATAAACAACATGCCACCCCAATGAAGCATGGCAGGCTTGTGAGTTTGTGTGTGTGTGTGTGTGTGTATGAGCAGCAGAGGCAGCGAGTCGCACCTCATCCACGGTCCTGCGCGGGAGGTGCAGCATCCCCAGCAAGAGTTTCAGCTTCACCGGAGGCGACAGACTGGAGAAACACAGCCGTATGTTGTCGATGACCGACACGGTGAGTAGAGAAGCGATGCTCGAAGGTGTCCACAGCTCGTCTGTCGATCCCAGTTTGTTGTGGAGCCACAGGCCGGTGTCGCTCTCCCTCATCGACGCCATCTTGGAAAAAGACGAATAATGAGATCGGGCATTTTAACAGGCTACCTAAGAAAACACACACACTAATGCGCGCTAGGACCCGTGTGACCACAGCCAGAGAGAAACTTTTACAAAAACATATGGTCAGTCTGTTATCTGAGTTTTAAGTGATTTGTGTATTTTTTTTTCCTGTTTATCTCTTTGTTTTTTTTTTATTTTATTTTGGCGCTGTGTTTTGTTTGGTAATGTATGAACACTTGGCTATTATCCCTTGGCATATGTGGTTTTTTAACTTGTTTTTTTTTGTATACAGTTGATGATTAAAAATAATAAAAATGTTATGCTAATTTGTTCTGTGAATTTCTGAAAATCAAATTTTCTCAAAATTAGGGCGTTTTGCTTTTATGACTAATTTAATTGATGTTTCTTTAACTTAATTGATGAATCGTATTCTGATCTTCGTTGCATTTATGAATGTGAAATTTGGTCAGAAATATACTGTTAGACAAAAAGAATACATTGATCTAAAACAGAACAGAACAGATCTATCTCTGTCTTTTTGTTTTGTTTTTATTGGAACATACAAGGGCAATAACATAAATTAATATAATAAGTATAATAATAAACAGACAATTAAAAAAATAATAAAATAGGAAAAGCAATAAAAAAAATCAAATGCCCATAACAAGTAAAAATAGTTACAAATTATTCAAATAATAGATTTAAGGATTTAAAATAATTTAGTTTTGTTTCACTGTTATTTCTTGTTTCTTTTAATGTATACAGGTGGTGACCTATTTCAATTTTTAAATGAGTAAAATTAGTTTTTTTCACTGCCCATTTACATTTGTGGATGAAGAATTTTCTATATATAATTAGTAAATTCACTATATACCAAATTTTTAAGTCAACAGTATACTCATAAAATCTATCTATATATGAAAAATGTTATTGAAACATCTAATAAAATGTGTTAAAAAGCTGCACTGTTCAAAACTTACATTACTACATTCAAAACGAGTAAGGTCGGAAGCCATGTGACCTGCGGTAACCAATCAGAGAGAAAAACGTTGCCTGGGCGTAAAAATATTTTGTTGGACTCCATCCTACGGTGCTCCGCGAAGGACAATAGACCTCAAAAACGCAATCGACGCTCCGCAACGAAACTGCGTCCTGAATAGGAGGTCGGTGGTTTGACTAACGGTACTACTGTCTTTATCAGAGACTACAGGTAATGCAAATAAGCTCCGTTTCGTTTTAATTAGCTTTAATAATACGTAGTACATGAGTGGGATCTGTATTTTTGGTGGACATATTTGGAAATGACCATATTTTAGCTGTACAAAGACAAAGCTAACATAAAGCACAAATATGATGATCGACAGTATCTTATTTGCGCTTTTGTTGGTCTGTCTTTTATAAGGCCTTGTTATAAAAAGCGTCTGTTAAAATATTAAATATGACAGCGTTGCACCTCCTGTATCTGTATCGGTGCAGGTGTTGTGTGTACGGTGATGCTGCGCGACAGTATGAGGCCAAGCGGAGCTCTAGCGACAGCGATGCTGCTGGTGCTGATCCAGCTCCTCTGTTTCAAACCAGTTCATGCCGAGAAATCAGGGACGGTCATTCCCGCTGAGAGTAAGACTCTGCATGCTTTATAGACCTGTGGTCAAACAAGCATGTATCGTTGCATATGTCATTATAACATGTAGCCTTTGGGTAGGCTTTGGTGTTTCCTGGGAACTTGCTCAGCAAAGTGATAAGGGTAAATGCAGTGTTATTTTAGCAGTATTTATATATATTATTATAGTTTTTATATTTTTGTTCAATAGGCCGGCCATGTGTTGATTGTCATGCCTTTGAGTTCATGCAGAGAGCCTTGCAAGACCTGAAGAAAACAGCTTTCAACTTAGACTCACGGGTAAGATCATGAACCTGGAGACAATTGAGACAAAGCCATTCAATGCAGTCTTTTTCAGGCCAAGGACCCCTTGATGGACTACGACAAATGACTTGTTAGCCTTAACTATATATTTATTCTAATGTGGGACAGACAATAAAACATTTAGTTGACATTTACCCTTTTAACTTCAGCTTTTACATTACAAGAATTCATTTGAGAGCCAAACATAATTTTATATCTCACGTGTTTTCAGACGGAGAGTTTGGTGCTGAGGGCCGAGAGGAGGGCACTGTGTGACTGCATGCCTGCCAGCAGCCTGCGCTAAAAACCAGCCGTTCACACTGCACTCAGACACAGAAATCTTTATATAACTAAAGGATACTACCTGCTCTCTCAGTCATACACACTCTCTCAAACAGGTTTCTCGTCACATTTTACATGAAGCGTTTTATCTTTCATTGTAATATGCGCATAGAGCATCATAAATACACATTCCTGACTAAAGAAGTCACAACGCAACATTCCACAGTTTAAATGTCATTGTTGAGAGGCACATCCAGATTATGGCAGCAGCTAATACATCGAACTTTCCATAAGTGTGTATAAAGAGAAAGGGTAAGTCTTTCCTCTCCAGGCACAATGCACTGCAAAATATACTGCAAACATTACATATTTATCATAATTATTTGCACAGTACACTATATGTTTTTTCAAATGTTAACTGCTTTTTATATTTGTGTTCTAGAAATATATGATTAACAGTCACAATAGTCGAGCAGATATTAGATTTATTAAATATCAGAATTTAAATGTAGATCTTCAGGCATTGTTTTAGAGAGTTTGCTGTAAGATTATTAGATGATATATATATGATTAGAAAAGTACCTGCATGTAAAGTGATAGTCTAGAATTTTATATGAGATGAGGAATAAGAAGAGATGGTTTCCTATAGAGATTACTTTGGTACTAAGATGTAAGTTCACACCTGTAACAGTGTCTTTTTGTGTGTAGAGAAAGTGCATTAAAACATATGTGATGCTGTATTTCATGTTGTAAATAATTTATTTAATAGGTTTTACTAGACCCTTTATCTTTTTACCTCAACCCCCATAAAAGTGCAATTAACCATACAATCAGTGAATATGGGATAACTCTCCAGATTAGCTGAAATCAGCAGCTACAGTAAACTATATTAAGTTTTTCTGGACCTGAACCCCCTTACCAGCTGTTAAAAAACTTCAACATCCAGCAGTTTGCAGCTCTCTTGCTTGTGACGCATCAAATGACCAGATGGAGGCGCAAGGATATAAACTGTATTTCATGTTGTAAATAATTTATTTAATAGGTTTTACTAGACCCTTTATCTTTTTACCTCAACCCCCATAAAAGTGCAATTAACCATAAAATCAGTGAATATGGGATAACTCTCCAGATTAGCTGAAATCAGCAGCTACAGTAAACTATCTTAAGTTTTTCTGGACCTGAACCCCCTTACCAGCTGTTAAAAAACTTCAACATCCAGCAGTTTGCAGCTCTCTTGCTTGTGACGCATCAAATGACCAGATGGAGGCGCAAGGATATAAAGGTTCATTATAACTGTCGCAGCAATGCAGCACTTCACGTTGGGGTGTGAAAACAGACAGCTCTGCAGAGCAAGTAACGGTAACACTTTCTGTGAAGCCCATATTTATAATACATTATAAGGCTATTCCTAAGGCATTATAATGAATGTATAATGCATTATAAAAAAACCTTATAATATGTTATATCATCTTATAAATAATCATAACAACAATTATAATGCTTACGCATTTGTGGTTATAATAACTTTTAAGCTTATGATTATTTATAACACACAATGAACACCATAATAAATCTACTTTTACATTTATAATGGACTATATATCTTGACATTGTTTATTTAAGATCTGCACAGTATCTTACTACATCTTGTAAGTAGTTAGGTGTGGAGTGTTCCCTGTGAGGCTAATATTAATTTTGATGTGAGCAAGTTAAAAATTTCAGCTGAAAAAAATGCAATGTTTATATGTTAGGTTACATTTTATTTTGATGGTCCCCTTAGACTATTGACTATAAGCAACTTTGCAACTACATGTCAACTAACTCTCATTAGAGTATTAGTAGGCTTAGGTTAAGGTTAGGGTAGGTAGAATGTTGACGTATACTTGCAAAGTTAGTTATAGTCAGTTTGTCTGTTGGGGAACGTTCTTATGAATATTCATAAGATGATATTATAACATATTATAAGGCTTTTTATAATGCATTATGCATTCATTATAATGCCTTAAGAATACCCTTATAATGTATTATAAATATGGGCTTCAGAGAAAGTGTTACCCAAGCAACTTTAAGGAAAAAATGCACACAATAACAATAAACATGGGAATTCAGAGAATGGAACGTCCCCCGCGGTTATAGTGTAAAACTGCAATGTAAAGCCATCCAAACTATTGACATTGGTGCAAAATAGAGAGAGAGAAAAAGTACTTTATCTGATGATGGCACACTCTTCATTAAAGGAGGGTAAAAGAAAACTGAGTAAAAAGTATGCACAGTTTTTTTTAACACATTGAGGCCCAGAAAACAGTTGCTCTCTCACAAGAAAAAGTGTACAAAAACAAACAGAGCACTAGCATAGTCACCTGCAATAAATAATTGCATGTTTCAATCAAAGTGAAAAATATGAACTCTTGGAAAGACATATGTTTATCACATTTGAATATAAATTAAGTTTAATACGTTTTTGAATTTAATAACAATAAATTAACACTGATTCTAATGTGTGATCAAACACTCTTAGAAAAGAGGAACTAAACCAAGTTAAACAAAGATTCAATAATATTCGTAATATACAACTCCGGGTTTATTAAACTAGTTTAGGAAGCAAGCTAGACAAGAGAAGATTGATTATTGATCAATCAATCATGTCAAAATAAACCTATGTTTCCGCTTTTATTATGATAGATGAGCTCAGAGTCAAGAAGACAGAAACTGGTCTTGGGCCAGTTATAATAACTTTAGCTTCACTCCTAATGTCCAGCAAATAAGCAATACAATCAACTACTACTAATTAAGATGACTTTGGAGTCCTAAACAAACAGTCGGAGTTAGAAATACGCATCTAAAAAGAAAATAAATGCCAATACTGATGTCAAACCAGCCACAGAGGCCTTGGAGGGCGTTTCACCAGTGTAGTGAGAGGCTCATGAATGCTTAAAGATGATAAGCCATTAATTATGCATACGTATTTTTGCAGAAGCCTCAAATGAATTACTCATTAGGAGGCCGAACTATGAATAGGTCAGAACATGGCCATTTCTGATAATGAAATATTCACAGAAAGAGAGAGAGCGAGAATGACACTATACTATTCTGGAGTAAAGAGTTCTGAGCGGGGGATTCTGCAGAGGAAACAATGGATTGTGCATCAAGTGTGAAGAAAAAAGACTTCCCCATTACACACATTGTAAACGTGTGTGTGTGTGTGGTACTTAATTGACGATCTGCTGGGAGGGGACGCCCTGTTGCATTATGCATCTGCTGACACCTCCACAACCCCTGCTGATTTTGAAGAAATACAAGCAGAGTTGCGGTCTGTTTTATTTCCCCCAAGGAGAACAAACCTCAAGCCTCCCTCCCAGACCTGTCTGTCTCCTCCAGGATGGAGAATCCGGTTTGTTCCTGTTTCCATCTCTCCTCCTCCTGCCCTCCCTTCTCAGTCTCAGTCTTTAGCGCGCTCTCTCTCTGACCCTGTGTCCCGATACTGACAGTAGTGTCTGGGTGTTTGATACCCCTGGCACTAGGCATGAGACCCAGAGGAAAATGGACACAGTGTGCGGATGGTGGGCATCCTGGGACACACCCACATGCAGATGGGATTATTTTTAGAATCAGAAATCCTGGAACAAAAACACAGACACACAGTGAGACTGATTAAAATGGAATTCATACACTCAAAAACACTAATTTAGATCACCACAATAAAGAGTCATACAACCTGTGTGACTTTCTTTCTTTTACGGAGCACAATTTAAAAAAAAATATTTATTTTATGATTTCTCTGTCTGAACTTTTACTTTGTGCCTTCAGTTTGAAAACCTCTGCTTTAAAACATCTATTCATTAGCCATGCCACTTTGCTTAATGCTCTCTGATGACCTCTACTTTACCTGTCGTTGATGACCCCACAATTTCAGCGTGTACAATCTTTCTCCACTTTTAGATTGCTGTAATTCATCTCTTGATTCTGCACTACTTTGAAATGCATTATTGCACTGCTGCTTTTTGTTGGTTCCTGAATGATAAACTGCTTGTGCTCGTGTCATCATTCTAACCTCATAAAGTCCCTGAGAATAAAATATGATATTTACAGCAAGCGACACAAGAAGGTCACATTGGTTCAAGCTTGGGGCAAGGACCTCACCTGACCCATGTGGTTCTGGGTGACCACCATTCACGGTGGTGTGTGTTCAGTTGATAGATCAGAGGACACAGCATCGCATTCAACCTATTAACACATGTTGGTTTCCTGCCAGTTCTCTCCCTCATTCTGCCACTTCCTCTTGCTGTTTTTATGAGTTACTAGTAAAGCTCTGTGAGGAATATTAGTCTTATCTGTATTAGTCTCTTTCTATTCTGATGTACTTCTATTCATCTTATGCTAATCACATATTAGCTAATGAATATAAATATAAATTCATATAGTTAATCATAATATATGCATATAATTATGAATATACCATTTCTTATACATTTAAAAAAATAATAGAAATAAATGATTACATAAATAAATAAGCACTTTTACGGAGCAAGGGAAAGTCTGTAGAAAAAACTACAGAAATATTTACTTTGTAGTTGCCATGACAAGTTTGTTTGGTCTCACTCCAAAATTGGCTCATTGTTCTATTGAAAATCAAAAGGACAAGAAACAAACAATTAAAGAGAAGGATAAAAAATCAAGTCAAATTAGATTTCTTCCATTCTTTACCTATTAAGGCAAAGCAGCTCAAACATGACTTCCAACATAGTCTAATGAATAAATAATCAGGCAAAACAATTTCAGACACACATAAATGTATAATGCAAAAAGGTTGGCACATTAAACAGATCTGATCAGTTATGTTAGTTCTTTTTTTCAGCTAAATTGGTTAACTAAGGTACCGTAAAGAAGTATATGAAATGGATTTAGTGTTCATGCTGTTTTTGTTTAGATTTTTATTTTGTTTAGCTTTTGTTTAAAATAAATAAATAAATGCACTGGTAATGGTAGAACAGAGTAGTTTGTCAGTGCTTTTTCTTTAGAAATAAACAGCTAAACAGACTCATTTCTAAAAGTCTTTTCTCTCTCCATGTAGTCAACGCTTTGAGGAGTGACATTCAAAACAGGATAAATATATTGTCTTTATAGGTCACCATATCACATCAAACACACCTTGACAAATGACAAACTATGTTATGTAATTCAGAAAAACAGTAAATTAAAAAAAAAGTAAACAAAAATTTGGGGTAAGACTTTTAATTAATTCAGAAAGGCCACATTAATTGATCAAAAGTGACAGTAAAGACATTTAGAATGTTACAAAAGATTTATATTTAAATAAATGCAGCTCTTTTAAACTTTCTACTAAGCAAAAAAAATCCTGTATCAGTTTAAATTAGGCACCACAGCTGTTTTTTAAGAAATATTTCTTAAGCACCAATCAGCATATTAGAATGATTTCTGAAGGATCATGTGACAAATTCAGCTTTGCCATCACGGGAATAAATTACATTTTTTAAATTTTTATTATAGATATTTTATTGTAATAAAAATGACACAATATTACTGTTTTTACTGTATTTTTTTTATTAAATAAATGCATCCTTGGTGACCAATAAGAGAACCATACCGACCCCAGAAAGTAAGAAAGTGATATACATTTATACATAGGTATATGTAAACATTGACCAACTATGGAAAGCGATGAAAAATGTGAAGACAGCCATTATTGTCAAAACAACCTCAACTCCAGATAA